GAGAATTACCACGGCGCGCAGTCCAACCTTAAATGAACCCTAATTATCTCGTATAAATTGATCATAATGAATGAGGCAGTATCGAAACGTGCTATCATAGCGCGCAGACATGCTGGGTTTCATCAGCGTCGCATACACACGTTCACAGCAATTCCTCCATGCTTTGCAATTAGCGACATCTATCAAATGGCGCAATAACGTACTTCGGTATTCGAGGCATCGTGGTCTCACAATGACAAAGGCGCGTCTCCATCATGAAGCAAGCCCATTTATTCAACAGGAGTCCAGGAATTAACATGCAGCAAGTGATCATAAAACGAACACGTGGCCAATTCGAAATGGTCCGATTTGCTGCTCGGTCTCCAGTCTATCCCGTAAGCCAAGCTTTTGTGCGTGGAATACCGATCCACCAACTTCATGCACTCAGCGGATTTAACATCAACGACGCAGAATCCGCCGTGCATCGCAGCAATACCGATGAGATCTTTTCTTCCGGGATGCCAACGGATTCTCCAAACGCCGCCATCGCATGACAAGGCGTCTACTTCTCGCCGCCACGAACGTTTGTCAAAAATATACATCTTCTCATCGTAGCTGAAGGAAATAATGACAAATCACGGTTCAAGGACTATGCTACGAATAGAAGAACCTGAGGGAATATTTTCTTGTTGACGATGCAACTGCCATTTTTCGAATAATTTACATGCACACCAACTCAGAGGAGCCAGGAAATCAATATAACAACGAACTAGTATAATTCAACTGAAGATTTTATGATTTCTATCAGCGTAATATGAGTTCATGAAGAAGTTTAAAATAGCTTGACCAAATCTTGGTACATCAGCAAATAATAACAGCATTTAGAATAATACTTCCGACGATTGAATTCATGGCATTCTTTTTGGCGAACCTAACAATACGCGGTCATCTCGGATTGCAAGAGTGCCATTCATGAATCCCGATCATTCAGCCAAAAGCAAATTAAGAATCAATTGTGTCGGCGTCCTTTTCGGAAAAGCGTTTTTTTCTTTTCAGGTTTTAGATTACCGAAAAATTAAATTAGGAAATTTAATCACCTTCCACAGAGAACTAAGTTCTCATAGTCAGGATGAGTGGCAATTGCTGTTACTCCGCCTTGAGCTCGTTTTACCGTTGCCACTGCGTCGCTCGCACTTTTTGGACTGCTTCTCACGTCGAAGCAACGCAAAACGCAATCGTCTCCACCTGAAAAAAATTCATTTTTTACTGAGATACATCACTTGTGGTGGACTCTCACTAGAACAAACTTGTCTATAACAATTTTCTCTGTACAACGAATTCTGTTCTGGTCCCACGGGGATCTCGTCCCATGTTATAGGGGTTATCTACAACGACATTCTCTCCACGGCGACTTTATTTCTGGTGCACTGAATTTCGTTGTAGAGAGAGTCCCTGGTATTCATAGTGTCGCCTCAAAATTCCTTCTATTTTCCAAATCATAGAGAACGTCAGCGGTTTCTTGGCCTCGCTTTCCTTTCAAATGTTTCAAATTTGTCCGTCACCCAAAACAGCGAAATTCCCTATAAATGCGCCTCAAAATGAAGATACGGCCTATAGACAAGTTAATTCTGTAACGGTGTTCGTCCAGTTCGAAGGACCACGTGGTCGAGAAATGTGATAGCAATTTCAAAAGGAAAATTAACCCACCAGAATAGATAATACTTTCGGAATTTACGTCCCAATGAGCGATCCAGGCTTCGTACTCATGAGCACCGAAAGACGCAGTTTCTTCGAGACTTCCCCCAAGCGAGTCGTAAGTAGTTACTGCTCCTTTGCTCGTGGAAACGACCAGTTTGCAGTCTCGTGTCGCATCCACATAGAGTGCCAAACCGTCGACTTTTGCTGACGACTTCGTCAACTTTTCAAAAGAATCACTGCCATCTTTGCTATTGAGCCGATAAAGAAGTACGTCTCCTTCGGCATCCGCGGTACACAACACCTGATCTGTGGAGATTCGTGCATTTAAGGTTTTCCGTCTTATTCCAATTTCAACATGAGTAAGCAAAAATTGCAAAAGTCGTCAGGGTAGGGTCAAATAAAATATACAGTACTCGTATAATGAACAAGTCGCAAAATGAATTTTTCGGACAACGGACTAGGGATTCTTGCTTCGAACATTGAACCCGGCCACAGATGAAGAGACTGCGTTATAATTGCACCAACTTCCAAATAGATAAATTAATCTTGAAATTCTGGATCTATTTGAGCATTATCCCGCTTTTCAGAACGCGTTTTTGCCGTTTTTCCCGATACTAGAAATTATACGTCTATTCAATTTGAAGTTTGCGAAGAATTTGCGATGGAAATATTCCAGGGGATCGGCTTATCCACGTCATTTAGTTTTGCATTAGAATACAGTCCTTGGATTCTTGGGCAGTCCGGAAGCAATTCAGCATTTCTATAAAGCTCTCCTTCAATCGGCTTGTTTATAAACATTTCGGATAATGAACTTCCGACAAGAACGGATGCAGACCCTTAATCGAGATACGTAAAACTTACGGATCATTCATTCAACAAAACTCTAATCCGGGAGTACTGACGAAATTAATGAATAAACCTCAGTACAACAGTACGAACGACCGAACACATACCACATGTAGACGGATTCCACGTAAAGTGCAGAATTCCAGGAACGTCCTCCACCCTTGCAGTGGCACGAATTCCTTTCCCATCCACATCCCGTCTCAAGCAAATCAGTCCACCTTTCCGTAAACCGACATCTTCGCCGACGCTCTCGCACAATTGGTAAGTTCCGCAAACCAGCACTTCGGAATCCGCATCACTCGGACACCACGCAACGACATCCGCGTAAAGTTCAGTGTCGTACTCTCCCAACAACTCCCACGTCATTCCCCGCGAACATGCGACAAAAAAAAGAATATTACTAAACGTCTGCGTGACTGAACAGCATACATTTTGATTCAACTCGAGTTTCCGGACCAGAACATGAAATTGTTCCATGAAAGAGACGCAAGTTCCACGAGATATTGAAAACACCGAGTCTTCGCCAATGAGATTCTTAACCCCAGAAAATTCGAAAAATTCATTTTTTCACGATTACAAAATAATTGCATGAAAAATCAAAGGGAAACTACAAGAGGGAATTGCCAACTTGCTATGTTGTCGATAGAATGTCTGCCATCATCAGTTTCCGCTACCTTCAGCTTCTGTCGTGTCTTATCAACAAATATAAGATAAAATCTAACGTCGAAACAAAACCGCAATCCATCGATAAAACGACAAAGATGAATCAATTTGTACTTGAATGACAAACCAAGACGGCTTCTAAAATAGGTTTCCTCATTATCATGATTTGTTAAGGCAGGTCCTCTCAAGTAATGGTCCCAAGCATCTTTAGTGGTGCACAGGTACTTCGCAGATGGTCTCACATACGGTACTACATTCTCATCGTCTACAGGGATAAGAAAATATATTGAAGCTATGTGCAAATTTAATGGAGTTTAGATAAGTGCTTTTTTGCAAGGGTTTATGTGACAGAGGCCTTCCCAGTCACTTCATGATCAGTCTCTCAGCCCTAAAATATTCTCTAACATATTTTTGGGTTCCCATGAGACCGAAACTTCCAAGTATAGCATTTACCCGGAGTTGTGCCCTTCAAAGTCCGCGTCTGTTCTTTTCACGCATTAACACTTGATAATAAATGTCATTCAATTTCTGTAGAGCCCCTGGAACGCACCTTGTTCAGGGATCCTTGGATTGCAGATGGAGAACCTCTCTCCTGTATATTTTGATGAGCAACAAATAAAATCCTGGGACTCACAGTCTGACAAGTCATGCAATAGAAACTTGTACACCTGTTGTTGGCGGAACACAGATGAAAAACTAGGAGGTGGTTGACAAAAACAGCCACGTTTTGAACACAGTGAAGTCTACAAGGTCAATTCACGATGAACAGATTCCACTCGTACTTGATAATCTAAAAGCGTTGATGAGGAATTATATAGTACCTATAACAACGACTGTAAGACCTACCGAGTCAAGCCCTAACCTCTACCACACAAAAGCAAATGACCGAACAACTAATGAACTCGCAGAAAACAGAAACTGGAATATTCAAAATACAGCAGAATACAGAGTTTTTCAATCACGAAAAAAATAAAAATAAATCTCACACGCATCCACAATAAGAACTTTCATAAATACACATCACTGCCTGGCGCTGCGTTCAGTTTCAATCAAACATTCACGAACGAGAATGCGGGCATTCGTAATGCCTCTCTTGAGCCTTTCCGCCGCATTCTTGCTGCCAGCATACGAAGGGCGAATGTCTTTGCTAATTTCTTCGATCACTTGCAAGAGTTGAGCGTATTTGGATTGCGGTGGTTGACCTGCTCTCGCTATGTTCGTCGGAACGAAGCTCATTCCTTGAGCAGCCAGCATGGCCATGCTGTAATTCGCCATCGCGTCGGAGTCCAGCATCATTTGCTGCATGTAACGCGCCTGACTGTATTCCGAGTCCATGATGAACAGCGATCACAAAAGAAACACTTCAAAGTCCTTGGGAATAAAAAAAAAAGCTACGAAGTTCAGAAAAAATACAACCGGGACACGCGAAGTAGAAACATATTTGGTATTCCCTTAACACGTGACCTTCAGGTTCGAAATCTAACCCTTCCGTGCTGAACAATAGAACATCGCTTATGCAAAGGGGCCGATTTCCCTGGAAAGTTTTGGATCGTGATACAACTCGACTTAATGGTTATACTGTAATCAATTAGACGAAGGCAATCTGCAAAATAATAAAGATGTGTACTTGAAAAAAAAAAGGGAGAACAACATCCCTGAGGCGCATTTACCAGAGAAGCACACATATTGAGTCAGAAATACGGGAGGTACCTCGCAATCCGACCCTAATCCGTTGCCAAACTAGGGTGGAATTGCAAGACTTTCTAAAACATCAAGGGCAAACAGCAAAAAAAAAAAAAAAA